GGTCAGAGTGCTGTGTGATCAATTACCATCTTTGAGTCAGGTGCTAGGCAACCAGCTTAGGAATTTTCTTGCATTAGTATCCATATTCCACAAAGTAAAACGATGAAATCTTTAGCATTTACTTCTAACAAACACCACTGTATGTTAGAGGAAGAATATTTTTTGGAATAAAAGGAGAAAGTTTAAATAGGATTTCTGTGAACACGGCTTATCAAGGATAATGCACATTCTAAAACCTGTCTTGAAAGGGACAGTAAACTTCCATCTTTAGCAGTGATACGAAAGTGACCAAAGAAGCCCACTTTCTCACACCACCTCCCATTGTGTTAATGAGAAGTTTCTTTTTCTTGTGGCAGGCAGATATATTCTCCCGTATTCATTCTGTTCTTCTAAAAGCTTGGTCTTTTATCTATACATCTTAATTAATTGGGCAAAGGAACAGCAAATACAGTATGTGTATATTCTCAAGAAATTAAGATGACTTCAATACTGGAGATTTAAAAAAAAATCCTCTTCAAAACATAAATTAGAATGGATTTAACTTTTTCCTTTAGTTTATTTTTCAAATAGTGTCTCACACTTTTCCCAGGCCTGTATTGGGTCAAGATCCTCCTAACCCCATACCCCATATAACTAGGATTACAGGAGTGTACCACAATATCATGCAGTATTTGACTTTCATATTTGAAAAGTAAAACCCAAATTAATTATATTTTCTTCTTCTGTGCCATTCCAACTCAGTTGATGTTAGGATATATGAATCTTACATTCTCTTTTCCTAGAAAAACAGCAAAGATCAGGCAAATGTTTGAAGAAAAATAGGATAGATATTCTTTTTTTTTTTTTTTGGTGGCAGTGGGGTTTGAATTCAGGGCTTCCCTCTTTCTAGGCAAGCACTTTTATCGCTTGCCACTTCACTAGTCCCCACCTCCCTCCTTTTTTGTGATTTTTTTTTTTCAAGATAGGGTCTTGCAAGCTTATTTCCTGGGGCTGGCTTCAAATCTCTCTCCTCCTGATCTCTGCCTTTTAAGTAGCTAGAATTACAGGTGTGAGCCACCTGTGTCTGGTTTAGGATTGACAAAGCCTGAGGCCGGGAGTTGAAGGTGACTTTTGCAGGAGCTGTGAGTAAGAAAGTCCTATATAACTTCTTATCTCTTCAGCTCAAGGCCCATGCTCTATTGAGATGCCCAGAGTAGCAATTTTGAAAGTGATGAACAACAGTAGCACGGATGAAGTTTTAGAATCCATGTGGGAAACTCTGTCCTTATCATAACACTAAATGGTGTGAATAGTAGTCAATCTACCCTTTATTGATCTCTTACAGAATGAAGAACTTATTTACTATTTACTTATTTAATTTTGTATGTAATCTGAGTTCATTATCAACTCACTTACTACAAAACACTACTTTGTGAATTTTTTTTTTTTACCATTTTCAGATGAACATTGTAGGGGCTGAGTTGCCCTGAGATCCTCCTAAGTGAGATGCAGTTAAAGATTCTGTGGTTTCTCACACCGTGTTTGCACTAAACACTACAAGTGGTTTTGTATTCATTATTCCATACACAAGACAATAGAGTGACTATTTACGTAAAACCAAATATTATAAATGGTATTATATATGTAAGTTATATATATAAGATATTATAAATGATTTAAAGAATATATGATGCATTTATATGCATGTACTATACCAGTTTATATAAGGGATTTGAACACCCTTTAAGATATCAAACATTCAAATTTGATGTCCTTGGTGGATGATTCTGGAACCAGTTCTTGGTGGATACTAAGATGCTGCAATATAGTAAAATCAAGGAGAGAAGAATGAAGAAGGAAAATGTACCTGGCACCAGGTTTCATACAAATTTGTTATTTATTGCATGCTGGCTGACTATAAAGTCTAAATTTTCTTGTTGTTAACCATACTTGGGAGTCCTTATCATGAAGTCTGCTAGGCAATAAAATGTGTGAAATTTCAAAAGATGCAGCACAGAGTTTCTTGAAATAGTTGACGTAGACAATATCCTGCATTTTAAACTAAGTCATTACTTTCCCATCAAATTCTTTCCATTGTGTAATCCTGTAATATTGTGACATTCTTACCTCTGATTTTACTAAGAAGCTATATTCAAAGCCTATTTTATGACTCACCCCATAAAGTCTGTCATGGATTAGAACTTTAAAAATTCAGAAAAATACCCCTGCCTTTGTTAGAGTTAAGTAACACCAAAGTGTTTTTCTAGTTTTTAACTATTTAAAAATTGTGAAACAGGAGACATTCTCCACCACCCTATAAATAAGAAAGTGTATAAGATTTCATTGATGAGAGATGTTAGCAATAATTATGGTGATGATGACCCTATCGTTAGTACCTACTAAGTGCCAGAGTCAAATTTATAATTTATTTTTCATTTTCACAACCAATTCTTGGATATACTTCATATTTGACAGCAAAGGAATTGAGGTGAGGTTAAGTGAATTTACTCATTATCTCATAAATAGTAATCCATAAATGATAGAGATACAATTTATTTCAAGTTTATGATCTGTATGACACTTATTTGAATAAGACAATAAACAGAATTATTTTAAATGCCAATTTTAAATACCCTATCATTGTTACTACTACTTCTAGACTAGTTGTTCAAGGCAATTACTGGATGCAATCAAATAGCCACATAGTGCATTTTTGATTTGGAATTCATTAAATATCATTGATTAGACTCGCATTTACTGTGGCCTCAGGGAAACTATAGAGTCCAGAAATGCCTCTAAAGTTTATTTATGAATATGATGCAGAAAGTGATAATCTTCTGGACATCTCTTAGCTCTTTTAACAGTCACACTGCACGTGGTATCCGGAACTAAACATGTCTATTCAGTTATTTTACAGTTAATCTTGAAACCTTCATTGGTTTAATCAACCACTATTACTCCACAGGAAAATGACCTTTTTCTTTTTTCCATAATACAACAGATTCAAATATTTTGCAATCAACATCTCCTCATGCTCAGAATTTTGTTTAGAGCACTATTAATCCATATCTGGCTCAGTTCTTAAATCCTTTCTAAATTTCTCTAGTTGAGGAATAGAAATGGAATTCTTAATTCTATGATGTGTCGATACAAGTCACTCACTTTTATTTGTAGCTAAGTCATCACTAAATCAAGAGTCATAATTTCATTTCTTATATTTTTCCAAAGAATATACCAATAAAAATTGTAAATAAAATTTAATATATTTAGAATTGTTATGCTTTTCATTGGTGGGCTGAAATTAACAAAAATTTCCCTCCTTTTAGGAGCCCTTTGGACTTAGTATAAAGGATGCTCATACTATTACTAATGAAAAAATAACTTTAAAGGAGGAAATAATTCATAGGTCTACCTATCTATACCTAGCTTGCTACTGTTATCTAGCTAGCTGTCTGCATAGATAGAAATAGAGACTATACCTATATAATGGTTAGATGGTATATTCATATTCACATACATGCATACATATGTATACATCATACTTAAAATGCATGTATGGACATAAATTCATTATATTCTGTACACACATACATTACATTCATATACATACATTATATTCAGATACATACTTACAAACATGCAGCAAAATCTGTTAAAATGTTATTAATTCAATGATACAGATAAAACACTCTGGGGAATTTATTCTTTTGACATATTCCTATAAAAGCATGGTCCTATTCTTAAATATATAACAAATGTTTGCAAAGGGCATAAGGGGTGCTGAGGACTAGTGAACACAGAGAGAGAGTTCATGTACACATCATAGGTGATCCCATCATCTTTGAAGGCTTTCTTTAGTTCTCCCTCTGGAACGGGATTGACCATAACTTTATTTTAGTCTTTCATTTTATCCTGCCTTAGTTCATTTCACTGCTTACTTATGGATTAATCTTTCTAATTATCCTTCACAATTTTTTTCTGTTGGGGTATTAGACATTGAATTCAGGGTGGATTCAAGGCAAGAACTCTACCTCTTGTGCCACACCATCACCCCTTTTGTTTTGTATTTTGCTTTTGAGATAGGGTCTTGCTAACTTTACTTGGTCTTTTCTTCAACTCATGATCCACCTGATTTCACCTTGAGTAGCTGCAATTATAGCTGTGCACTGCCATGCACACCTTAAAACATATACCTCCCTGGACACAAAATTCCATACAGAAAACAAATCTTGGTGTATAAACAGACATCAATAGATAGTGTAGAAAGTAATTTCTGTATTACTTTGACACTTAGTGCTTGCAATAATCCCCTTGCTCTAGAAACATTTTTCTTATCTTGACTGAAAGTTTTCTTAATAGAGCAACTACTAACATGTTCATTTGAACTTCTTAATTTTGTAGGGTTTAGTCTTGTAAATAGATTAAAATTTTTTTTGTAACTTTCAAAAAGCAATTACTAGGTAATGAACAACCATCTAATATTTATGGACTGAGACTAATAGTAAATGTAAATACATACTTTAAATAAAAATAAAATAGTCACCAACAAAACCAAACAGAAACTCCAGAAATGTAGTCCAACTGGAAAAAAGTTTAATACAAGATATTTTCTTTGAACTATCATGAATAACATTTTGCCTACCACCATCTTGCTTTGGGCCTGAGTTCACTGTCTTAAGTAACATGATGTGGCAACTACTAATTATTATAACTTGTCCAATAAATTTAATGGATGTCCAATTAACTCTTCATCAGCATCCATTTTTGAAGATGCTACCTATTGAAACTGATGTCAGTTTATGACCTCCATGTTGCATATGTAGATAATTGCTCCTTAGACAATAATTATTAAGTTTTCTGTGTCTCATTCAGTCATTTTGTTTTATAAATTATGATGCCACAGACTTCCAATTCATTTGACTTCATAAATATGACTCTCCAGGGATTACTGAAGGTCTGTTGTGGAATGAATGTATGGACATATGAAATTGAAGTAGCTGACAGATGTATCTGTTTTGTAGGTTTTCCATTGACCGTCACACTGACCTGGAGAGACAGTTCAACATTAATGCAGATGATGGGAAGATAACTTTGGCAACTCCACTTGATAGAGAATTAAGTGTGTGGCATAATATCACAGTCATTGCTACGGAAATTCGTAAGTGTCTGGATTTCTTTCTTTCTTGTTTTTGTTACTGTCTTCAATTTATGCCTACTGATCACATGATAAATGTGATAATGTGAAACTTATTCATTGTGCCCAAGGAATCTCTGAATATATCATCTAACACAAAACAGCTCACACTATAGTAAATTGTCAAATGTTTGCAAGGTATGTGGGAAGGAAACTTTCTTACACCCAAACATTTTTATATCTTGTATCTTTTATTCCACAATGAAAACAATATTTTATACTTTAAAATATGAGAAAATATCTAGCTTGAAAGGGTAGGTGAAAACATTAAATTCAAGAGTTGTATACTATAATTTAAATAAATAGACACTTGGATTATAGTGTATTATTTACAATATAGAAAAAATTGTTGACATGCTTAAATTATACACATGCCACTTATATGCAGAAAATATAGAAAGAAACTACAGTATAAATAAATATCGCTTTGAAGAGATAAGATTATGGATAATTTTTTTGGAATTTAATTTACACAATAATCAGGAACTATTTTCAAAGTGCAGGGAGAAAATTAATCCTTGAAGGATTGGGGTAAAGAGAAACTGAATAAGGAAATTAACACCAAGGCTAAGGTGCTAAGGGTGCAGCTTGGGGGAAGAGAACTTCACAAGCTGTGCACAGTCTTAGGTTCAATACTAAGCAATGCAAATAGTAATAATAAAAAAAATCTATACTAAGAAAGACTCATTGGCACACATACAATAGAGAGGATGTAGAAGATAATTATTGACAAAAATACCAGAGAACATATACTAATGTGAAAAATAGGAGGAACATCTCTCGGATATTCTGGTGAATTGCTATCCAGGTGTTCAGAAAGTAGCACAGTTTTTCCTTGTAATGAGATGTGAGGAGAATGTTCTTCATGGATCCTTTTAAAAAAAAACTAACATTTCTAGCACAGTATGATGATTTTTGCCTGTAATCCCAGAACTTGGAGGCTGAGGCAGGAGGATCATGAGTTCGAAGGCAGTTTGGTATTTATAGCAGGAACCTATCTCAAAAGGAAACAAAGTACCCCAAAACTAAAACAAAAACATTTGTGTGAAAGAACACATATTCCAGAGTGAAGAATGGCTGTTTCTTGTAGCAATTTGAGTGCAGGTAAAACAAGTGAATTTGACTTGATACACAGGTTCAATGCCACTAAGCTCTAGTTCTGGATGGGGCACAGCCTTAGAAACTTTGGTCTTTCTCTTTGTTTAGAAATACTGTTTTTTTCCTTGGTAAGCTATTCTGGAAATAATTTACCAATGTAACTTTAAGGGAATAAGCAAACAAAGCATACCATTTGGTGCTTTGGTTTATTAGAAATGCTAACTCCATTCAGAAGGATAGAGACAAAAAAATTTATAATTTATAATGTTGCAGCCCCATTATCATTAAAGCCTCTAAAAAAAGTTATGTCTGTTTAGATTGGTTTGAGACTATTAAGAATGCAGAAAGAATTAGGTTTTTTTAAGCATGTAGGCAGTAATTACTTTAAAATATTTTTCTCATACATTAAATAAAATCTACTCATGTTAATTTTAGCCCATGACATATTTTTTATGAGATGGATGTGTTTTCGTAAATATTCATCAAGGTTGTACCAATTATAAGCAATCATGTACTCCATTTTAAGGAACAAAAATACATGAATACACAGGACAGGTGCTTAAAAAATGTTATAGTGCAATCTAGAAACAAAAGACTCGTTTGTACGGAATATATAAGTAAGAATGATAAACATAAAGCAGATGATCTAGGCAGTGAGCTGTAACTCCAGGGTGGGCAAGGATACCAAACCTAGTCAGGAAAGAATCTCATTTTCTCTTTTCTTAAATAATTATTTGCTGAATCTTTATTTGCCAAGTACCTATCTAGTGACAATGGATAGAACAGGAAGTTAAACAGGCAAAAGTCAGCTCCACTGGAGTTTTTTGTCCATTGAAACCTGACAGCATCTCTTTGTAAATGAGTATGTTGTAATATGCTGGGATATCCATAGAAAGAGGCTGTATAATTATTAGAACTTACTCTATGGGTTTAATATTTCATCTAAACAAATACAATAAATTTCCCTTTAATATTTTTGTCCCTAGACATGGTCTATAGCTTTCACAGATAAATATTACTTGGTGGACTAACTAATAAAGCCAAGTGAAAACAAGCTTCTTAGCCGAAAGAACCACAAGTGCTGGGAATCCAACCAGTTCCATGTCAATGGGAAGAAAAAAATTATAAAAGGGAACCTCTTTTGATGAACATATGATGTTACTGAAATTATTTCATAATCAAAAGGGGGAAACAAGTCTTTATGTGTGTCAGTAAAATAGCTAGCTATTTTGAAAGTACTGTTATTATTTTTGTAGTAACATGATATGTAAATTACAAAATATCAAAAAAAAACAGTTTATCATTTTCTTCATATTTTCAGATTAATGACTCAAATCTACTACTAATAAAGTTTTATAGTTTTGTTCAAACAAAGAATGAACACAGGTTACCTTTGCCCATATGGTCAAAGTCAAGTTAATTCTGAACCTTATATAATTTAGAATTTCTAATACAAAACTTACATTATTCTGTTGAATTAAATGAGAGTCACCCTATCTTCTTTTCTTTTTTTCCTAACATAGAAGAAAATTAGCATACTTCAAAGGAAGATTTTGACTAAGAAACAAGCTTAATTTAGATTAAAAAATCATAAGAAATATTAAGCTACAAATTAATTGCAAACTGATTTTTTTAAAAAAATACATATAAATTTCTTAGTACTAACAAACATGAGAATATAAAAGAGAGTTTTAAATTTTAGCTTTTAAATAAAAAGATGGTTATAAATCTTGAAATTTTAGATGTAAATGTAAACCATTATTTTTCTAAATCATGAAAGTTCAGAGAACTTAAGAAAAATGAAATTATTGAGGAAACAGCTTAGAAATTTGTTTTATGTTGGCTCTATTATGTAGTCCACCAAGTAATATTTATCTGTGAAAGCCACAGACCATTTCTAGGGACAAAAATATTAAAGGGAGATTTATTGTATTTGTCTGAGATGAATATTAAAACCACCCAGGATTACAGAACCCCATAGAATAAGCTCTAATAATGATAGAGAAATAAGTATTCCAGGGAGAACAATTTAAAATTACTCTCAGAATGCAGAAACAGACAAAAAGATTTAAACAAATGAACTTAAGATAAAAAGTGGATTTTAGGGAAGTCCATCTGTTATCTTTTAATGAGAATGAAGACAGTCCTTTATCCTCTTATGTGAGATTTACTTAACCCTGGCTGAGATACTTCACTGTGTATATTGCCCAAGTATTTCACTGGTAATAGATCTACCCTTCCATCCTGATCAATGGGCACAACTAGTGAGCTGCAGTGAGATGCCCACATGTTAACAAGAGATATGGCTGGTGTAGTCTATCTTTGCTAACAACAAACTTAGCACTTGAGTTTAGTGTATGGCTGCTGTTTATCATGATGGTAAAGATTTAAGCTAGATTTTACTGACCAATTAAATACTGAAAAAGTATTATATAAACCCTATACTACCATGCATGTAAAACTTTTTTTTCTTTTGCTGGTACTGAAGTTTGAATTCAGAGCCACATTTAATTCTTACCACACTTTTTGAAAGTAGATATTGTTACAGATTTATGTCAAACAAGGAAACTCAGACACAGATTAAGTGACTTTAGCATTTTATTAGAGGAAACACATGGATGTGAGAGTGAAGGTACAGAATTGGATTTTTTTTTAAATTAAAGAATACATGTTTTTAAACACCTTCCACAGAATCCTCACTTAAATCTTCTTTCCTTCTCATCTTCCTGCTGGACTTGAGTTTTTGCCATGGCTACTTCATTTCCTGAAATAGGTGAAAGAAGTAGTTTTTCTTTGCAAAGGAGAAGGCTGGGGCAGGGGAAAGGGTGCAGTTGAAATATACACAATGGATTTGTATCTTGGTGAGTACAAAGCCCAAAATAAGCAAGTTCAGAAAATAAAAAAGCAGAGGAAGATTTATAACCTATACCAGCTAAGAAGAGCACAGGAATCATTTCCAAAGTGATGCCTTCCCTGAACAAAGGAAGTGTGGTCCTTTTATTCTGAGAGCCTACATATATTCATATAGAAATGTCCTTGGTCATAATAACTTGGGTCATAATTCAAGAAGGAAAGATGATGATGGGTATATTTTTGGGGCGAGTTTAGGTGAAGGTCATTGGATAGGTTAAAATGGCCTACATAGACACTTTGGGCATGCTCAGTCATACCATAAAAATGGCAGGCAGAAATGCTTCTTGGTGTTCCTTGGTTTTTTCCTCCAAAACCTTTTAGATGAACAAAAAGGCAAGGGGACTTTGAAGGTGAGTTAATGTAAGAGTTTGCCCTAAAGGTACCTGCCATGCTTAGTCAATAAAATAGTGGGGTAAAGAACAAATATACATTATTATATTAGCCTTTGCTATTCTAACATTTTTTTTAAAGGGTAGGAATTTTGCCTAAAAGAAAAAAAAAAACAGAATTTTGGAATATTTCAAGCTGGAATTCTATTCCTGTTTTAAAAACTGGAACATGAAGGAACAAAGAGTAGAACACACAGCACAGTATATTTTGGGGGACCCTATTTTGCAGTGAAGACCACCAATCAGAATCACTTTCAGATAACTGGTTAAAACAAATATAAAAGATAGTCCTGGACTTCATTCAATATCTACTAAATCAGATATTCAAGTGAATGATTTAGGAATTCACTTTTAACAGCTTTGCCCTCTTCTCCATCCCACCCTGAAATCAGATGAGTATTAACACTTAATAGTATTGAAAAAGAAGGCAGAGAAAGGTAAGCTGTGTTTTGTTTGTTTGTTTGAGATTTCACTAAGATTTGAGGTAAAGCTTTTTAGATGACAAAACACAAGTAATAGGTACAGGTACAGGAGAGGTATGGAGTATTATAAAATATTGAGAAT